TGATTTTCTATTTGGACGATTAGTCCATTTATGTAAGTGGGGTGTTAAAGTCCTCTACAATTATTGTATTATTACTGATTAGTTCCCTTATGTTTGTTATTGATTGTTTTATGTATTTGGGTTCCTATATTGGGTACATAAATATTTATAATTGTCATATCTTCTTATTGGATTATCCCCTTTATTTACATTGTGTCCTTGTTTGTCTCTTGTAATGGTCTTTGTTTTTTGTTTTGTTTTGTTTTTTACTATTTTATTTATTTATTCATGAGAGACACAGAGAGAGAGGCAGAGGCACAGGCAGAGGGAGAAGCAGGCCCCACGCAGGGAGCCTGACGTGGGACTCGATCCCGGGTCTCCAGGATCAGGCCCTGGGCTAAAGACGGCGCCAAACCGCTGCGCCACCCGGGCTGCCCTGATGTTTTAATGTCTAGCGTTTCCAATATAAGTATTGCTACTCTGGCTTCCTTTTAACATCCATTTGCATGATAGATGTTTCTCCATCCCCTCACTTTCAATCTGAAGATGTCCTTAGGTCCTGATGTTTTAATGTCTAGCGTTTCCAATATAAGTATTGCTACTCTGGCTTCCTTTTGACATCCATTTGCATGATAGATGTTTCTCCATCCCCTCACTTTCAATCTGAAGATGTCCTTAGGTCAAAAATGAGTCTCCTGTAAGCAGCATATAGATGGGTCTTGTTTTTTTTACCCATTCTGTCACCCTATGTCTTTTGATTGGAGCATTTAGTCCATTTACATTCAAAGTAATTATTGATAGACATGTATTTATTGTCATGTTATTGTTTGTTTTGTGGTTGTTTCTGAAGATTTTCTCTGATTTTTTTTGGTTTTCTCTCATTCATGGTTTGCTGGTTCTTTTTACTGATATATTTGGATTTCTTTATTCTTATTCTTTGCATATTTATTAATATGGTTACCAGTAGGTCTATGTATAATCTTTTCTGCATACAGTAGTCTGTGTTGATTGTGGTTTAAGTTTGAATTAATTCTTTATTCGTCTCCTCCCAACACATTAGGTATATGTTATATTTTATATCATTTTGTGAGTCCTTAATTTTTTACAGAAATATTCAAATTTACGGCTTTTGTGTTTTGTACCTTCATACTGTCTCTTTTGTTCTCTCCTTTCCACTTAAAGTGTCCCCTCTAATATTTCTTGCAGGGCTGGGTTAGTGGTCATAAACTCCTTTAGTTCTTGTTTGCCTGGGAAACTATTTATATCTACTTCTATTCTGAGTGATACCTTGCTGGATAGAGGATTCTTGGCTGAAGATTTTACCCATTCACTATTTTGAATATTTATAATGCCACTCCCTTTTGGCTTGGAAAGTTTCTACTAAAAGATATCCCCTGCTAGCCTTGTGGGTTTTCTCTTCTAAGTTAAAGGTCTTTTTTTGTCTTGATGTTTTCAGATCTTTTTCTTTATCCCTGTATTTTACCAATATAATTATATCTTTTTTAAAAAGTTTATTTATGCATTCATGAGACACACGGAGAGAATGGCAGAGACATAGGCAGAGGGAAAAGCAGGCTCCCCACAGGGAGCCTGACATGGGACTAGATCCCAGATCCTGGGATCATGACCTGAGCCAAAGGCAGATGCTCAACCGCTGAGCCACCAGGCATCCCATATAATTATATCTTGATTTGGGTCTACTTTTGTTGATTTTATTGGGGGTTCTCTGTACCTCCTGGATCTGGATATGTGTTTTCTTCTACAGATTTTGAAAGTTTTCAGCTATTATTTCTTCAAATAAAATTTTTGCCCCCTTTTTTCTCTTCTTCTGGGACTCCTATAATATGTATGTTATTATAACATTTGGTGGAGTCACTGAGTTCCCTAAATCTATTCTCATTTTGTATAATTCTTTTTTCTCTCTTTTGTTCAGCTTGATGACCTTCCATTACTCAGTCCTCTAGGCCATTAATTCATTCCTCTGATTCTTCTAGCCTGTTGTTCATTCCATTAAGTGTGTTTCTCATTTCATTTATTCAGCCCTTTGCCTCTGTTATGCTATTCTTTATTTCTGTGTTAAAGGTCTCATTCATGTCTTCCACCCTTTTCTCAAGTCCAATGAGTATATTTATGATCATTACTTTCAATATGCCATCAGGCATGTTACTTGTATCTCTTTCACTTAGATCTCTGGCTGTGGTCTTGTCCTATTCTTTCATTTGGGATAAATTTCTGTCTTCTAATTTTGTCTAAGTCTCTATACCTATTTCTGCATGTTAGCAAATTTAGCTACATCTCCTAGGTAACGGTCTTATGAAGAAGAGATCCTATAGTGCCCTGCCATGTAGTGTCCACTGCTCCCCAGGGCCAGGTGTTTCTGGGGTTGTCTCCAATGTGTGCTGTGTGTGCTCTTTTGTCCTGGTCCCTTTATCCTATGGGCCAGTTGTCTACAGAGGCTTTCTTTGCCTTTTGTGGGCAGTGTTTGGTTTCTGGCCTGAATGTGGTGCATTTTAACTAGGTGTGCTTTTGTCTGCTTATGAAATGAGACCTGTCACCATTGCCACTAGAACAGAGGCTTTGCAAAACTCCCAGGTTGGGAGATATGCTATGAGCAGGGGTTTGGGCTGGTCTTCTAGAGGGGGGAGCATGTAGCACTGGGACAGAGCCAAGAAAGACTGGGAAGGGCAGTTCCATCAGAGTGCAGGGAGGTAGGGCTTGGTGCAATCAAGTTAGGTAGTGACTGAATGCTGTGTTGGTTCCCATGGGTGGACCTGGGTTTATGCTGAAGAGTTGGGGAGGAAAATGATGCTCGCCAGTTCCTTTGTTACTGGAAGGGTCTTTCTATGAATGCTGCCTCTCTGGGACATGCTCCAAAATGAGCAAATAACCTCTCCAGTGGGTACCCTATGACTCTTAAGATCCTTATTTCCATGCTGTACGTCCATAGGTTGTTTGCCTGCCTTTTCTCCAAGAGTAGTGAAGTGCCCTCTGGGTTCTATCCCAGCCAAGCTTGCTGACCATTTAAACCAGGCTTGGAGCACCTGGGTGTCTCAGTCAGTTAAACATCTGCTTTCAGCTTTGGTCATGATCCCCAGATTCTGGGACTGAGCCCCGCACTGGGGTCCCAGCTCAGTGGAGAGAGGTTGCTTCTCCCTCTCTCTCTGCCCCCGCCCCACTTGTGTGCTCTCTCTCTCTCTCTTTCTCTCTGTATAGCTTGATCTCTGAAATAAATAAAATCTTAAAAAATAAAAACCCAGGCTTCAAGCCCCACTGGTTGCTAGAAGTCCTAAAATGTGGCCTTGCCTGCTTTCCAAGCCAGTTGCTATGGGGATTCATTTTTTCCATGCTCCCCTGTATGTTAGTCTGCCTCTCATCCTTCTCCATGAACACAGCTTCTCACTACCACAGTGATCATGATCCATTTCTCTCCCAAATCATGTCTCCACACTTCCTACCTTCTTCCATTTGGCCTCTTCTCTACCTTTAGTTGTGGAGTTGTTCTCAGTCTTTAGGTCAATTTCTGGGGTATTGAGGCAAATGGCAAATTTCATACAGTGTTGAGATTGCACATTGTGATAGAATATTTAAAGTTCATTTTGGAAAATACATATTTTACTAGAGGGGAGGTGGGTAGGGCAATGTGTGCAATAGGTGACAGGGATCAAGAGTACACTCATCTTGGGACGCCTGGGTGGCTCAGCGGTTGAGCGTCTGCCTTTGGCTTGGGGAGTGATCCTGGAGTCCTGGATGGAGTCCTGCATCAGGCTCCCTGTGTAGAGCCTGCTTATCCCTCTGCCTGTGTCTCTGCCTCTCCTGAGAGGAAGGAGAAGTTTACAAACAGACACAGAAGGAATGGCCATGTGAACATGGAGCAGAGAAAGACGTGTCCACAAGACAAGGAATGCTAAGAGCCACCAGAAACTATAGGAGGCAAGAAAGAAATTGTCTCCTAGAGCCTCCAGGGGGAGCATGGCCCTGCCAACACCTTGATTTTGGACTTTTGGCCTTTAAAATTGACATAAAAGACTTTGTTTTTAGAAGCCATCCTGCTGGGCAGCCAAGTGGCTCAGCAGTTTAGTGTTGCCTTCAGCACAGGGCGTGATCCTGGAGACCTGGGATAGAGTCCCACGTCAGGCTTCCTGCATGGAGCCTGCTTCTCCCTCTGCCTGTGTCTCTGCCTCTCTCTCTCTGTGTGTCTCTCATGAATAAATAAAAAAATATTAAAAAGAAGCTATCCTGTTTGTAGGTATTTATTATGGCTGCCTTAGGAAATTAATGCATTTATCCTTAGACCACTTTATTAATTCTCCTTTCCTTCCTTTCTTTTTTTTAAAATTTATTTATTCATGAGAGACACAGAGAGAGAGAGAGGCAGAGACACAGGCAGAGGGAGAAGCAGGCTCCATGCAGGGAGCCTGATGTGGGACTCTATCCCGGGTCTCCAGGATCACGCCCTGGGCTGAAGGCAGCACTAAACTGCTGAGCCACCTGGGCTGCCCTCTCCTTTCCTTTCTATATGAATTTTATATCTCTATGGAGATAGAGTTTCCAACTGAGATACTGTCTGATGGAGAAATATAAGATGATGAGCTCAGGAGGGATATCAAGAGTCAGTAGTCTTATTCTCTAACCTTATATTAATACCCACAGGTATGCAGTTTTCATTCATTGTTAACCAGAAGATGCTCAAGAACATTCTGCAGTCAAAGTTTTCCCTTTGATGAATTGATTCTTACAAAGGAGAGTCAAGTCATGCAGTTCAAGAATTAATGCATGGGGGACACCTGGGTGTCTCAGCGGTTGGGTGTGTGCCTTTGGCTCAGGGCATGATCCTGCGGTCCCAGAATCGAGTCCCACATCGGGCTCCCTGCGTGGAGCCTGCTTCTCCCTCTGCCTATATCTCTGCCTCTCTCTCTCTCTCTCTCTCTCTCTCTCATGAATGAATAAAAAAAATCTTTTTAAAAAAGAATTAATACTTGCATACTTTTATTTCTGCTTTATTCCATAAGAGACAGCAAGTGGTGATTTTGGAGAAGGAGGTCCTCCCACAAAGGTGATAGTGGTGGTGATGGTTTACCACTTATTCTAGGTAAAGAAGTTGGAGAAGGAGGAGCAACTCCTCTGAGTAGAGAGGGCGTGGGTAGAGATGGTGGTGGGCATGGCCCTCCATCTGCCTGTGAATGCGGTGAAAGAGCTCCTGAAATTTAAGGGCAACCTGTGGGCTCATGTTCCTGTAATATAAAGAATCCAGTGTTTAAATGCTGGCAATATTAAATGTAGCAAATAATTCATAACAGTAGATATTTATATTTTCTTATACATTCAAGGTGATTAAAGCATTTTATCATGTTTTTTGGTATTTACCACCACTCAAGGATTTAGTATATGTACAAGACTTTACAGATATTTGATCAGCATTTTAAGCTCTGCACAATGACTGCTTCTGCTAACACTAATACTAGAAGATTTGGCACTCTCATCAAAAGCTCTATGAAGCAGTACTCCCAAATAACGCAAACTTAGATTTCATGATGAATGAATATACAGAAGAATTAACCTACACAGCCTGGGCCTGTTAGACTAGTTGGTTCAAATATGGATTATTAGGGGCACCTGGGTGGCTCAGTAGTTGAGCGTCTGCCTTTGGCTTAGGTGGAGATCCTGGGGTCCTGGGATCGAGTTCTGCATCAGGTTTCCTATAGGGAGCCTGCCTCTCCCTCTGTATCTCTTATGAATAAATAAATATAATCTTTTAAAAATATATGGATAATTAATATAGGGTCTCAAAATATAGGTGATTCGTATAAGGTCATGGTTTGATCCCCTTGGGAGCCAATTAGCTTCAAACAGTCTGTCTCACAGTGCCAATGACCTAGCTGTCTTCTTTTTTTTTTTTAAGATTTTATTTATTTATTCATGAGAGACACACACACAGAGAGAGAGAGAGAGAGAGAGAGAGAGAGAGAGAGGCAGAGACACAGGCAGAGGGAGAAGCAGGCTCCATGCAGGGAGCCTGACGGTGGGACTGGATCCAGGATCTTGCCCTGGGCTAAAGGCAGCACTAAACTGCTGAGCCACCCGGGCTACCCTAGCTGTCTTCTAATAATGCAAGTAATATCCATTTGCATACTACTGTGCTTATCAAACTTTTTACATCGATTATCCCTCTTGATCCTCATTATAACTTTGTACCGTAGGTAGGACAAGTTTCCTCTCACTTCTTCTGGATGCAGAAACTGAGACTCCCAAGATTTAAGTGACTGAACAATGTTCATGCTGTTACTATGACACATGATTAGGACTTGAGTGCAGGTTTTCACACACCTAATTTAGCTCTCTTTCTTTTTTTTTTAAACGTTTATTTACCAGGACCCTGGGTGACTCAGCGGTTGAGCGTCTGCCTTAGGCTCAGGTCATAATCCTGGGATCCTGGGATCGAGTCCTGCATTAGGCTCCCCATAGGGAGCTGGCTTCTCCCTCTGCCTATTTCTCTGCCTCTCTCTGTCTCTCATGAATAAATAAATAAAATCTTTATAAAAATAAAGATTTAATTTTATAAAAAATAAAGATTTTATTTATCTGAGAGAGAGAATGGAGGGGGAGGGGCAGAGAGGGAGAGGATCTCAAGCAAACTCCCCACTGAGGTGCAGAGCCTGACCCAGGCTCCATCTCATGACCCATGAGATTACTACCTGAGCCCAAAGCAAGATTTGAAGGCTTAACTGACTGAGCAACCTAGGTGCCTGTCAGCTCCCTTCCTAGTACAGTAGCAGATTATCTCCTAAGAATGCATGTCATTTGTCAGGAGCTGAGGACAGAACCCTGGGGAACAGCCCCCTCGGGGTGAAAAAAGAGAGTAACTGACTTCTCAGAGATGTGAAAAAGGAAGAAGAGGGATAGGAAAAATAAATGTAGTGGAGAATTATAAAATATTACAATGAAGCAGAATAGAGCTGGGAAAAGGCCACTAGATTGGGTCATTTGGAGTTCGTTGGCAACTTTTGACATAAATTTTAGTAGAATGGTAACAAGAGACAAATTTAAAAAACAAACACCTAGTGAGCTTAGGAGTTTAGACACTCTTAGGAAGATGTTAAGTATACATAGAAGCTTTTGTCAAGGTGGGTAGATAAGTCCATGGGTTATTAATAAATGATGATCAAAAGGTCTAAAGAGGGCTTGGGTACTCATTAAATTGAGGATTTTCCTTTTGCAGGGAGTTCTTGTAGACCCAGTTATTCAAGTCATCATGAAAATTTCCTCCCGAAAGCAGTTTTGCTTGTGTAATATATTGTCACAAAACATTTAGTGTGGTTTAAGAAACTGATACCTGAGTCTTTTCCACACATGAACATGGTTCTTAGAAAATCAAACCTGTATAGTTATATAAATGAAAATGTTAATTCACCAGAAAGTCTGCTTCTGGTCACATGTTCCTTTCACCTAACAAAATAATCGCCTGCCATAGAACTCACTGACATGACACAATATTATCTACTTTTATTACCCAAGTTTACTGCTGCCAGAATTCTGTTCCAAGCTCTTTGATTTTTTTTTCCTTTTTTTGCATCTTGTCTTAAACTTGGGTTTAGGCTCTGAATTCTTCATTTACCTGGAATGATACCCAGCATAAATGTCCACTTGATAATATAGTTTCAAATAATATTATGTGTGAAATACAGCATTACATTTCAGATCGTTAGTCGTGATTATTTTCACGACATTAAGGACCAATATGGAAAAAAAAAAAAAGGACCAATATGGGGATGTGGTTAGTGCTGCTGCTCCTGGTGCCTGTAGTGGAAGTGATAAAGAAATAGGTCTCCGGGATCCCTGGGTGGCGCAGCGGTTTGGCGCCTGCCTTTGGCTCAGGGCGCGATCCTGGAGACCCAGGATCGAATCCCACGTCAGGCTCCCGGTGCACGGAGCCTGCTTCTCCCTCTGCCTATGTCTCTGCCTCTCTCTCTCTCTCTCTCTGACTATCATAAATAAATAAATTAAAAAAATGTCTAAAAAAAAAAAGAAATAGGTCTCCAAGAAAAGGCAAACAAACTCATTTTCACTTCTGGAAAAGAAAAGGAGTTTTGCATGATTTATCATGGATATCTTTACTGTTTTAATTGTATTATTCATCCCTACCTGACTCCTGGAAAATGTCCCACACTGGCTAATTCAAAACTTTTCTAGTCTATTTAAATTTCAAATCCACCCAAAGGCCTTCATGGACAGGAAATGAACTTCTCAGAAGGTGGAGGACTTCCAGTAGGATTTCTCTGAAAATCAGAGAGGGTGACAAAACATGAGAGACTCCTAACTCTGGGAAATGAACAAGGGGTAGTGGAAAGGGAGGTGGGCGGGGGGATGGGGTAACTGGGTGATGGGCACGGAGGGGGGCACTTGACAGGATGAGCACTGGGTGTTATGCAACATGTTGGCAAGTCGAACCCCAATAAAAAAATCTACAAAAAAAATAAGATTTCTCTGAATCCACACTCTCATCTCCCCTCAGAAGTTATCTTCTCCCCACCCTGTGTTTCTTTACCCCGCTAGCTGGGTGCCTATACACACACACACTGTCCACAAAATTTCCTTTTTTATGTAAATGATTCATTTGTACATTTTCGGAAAGGCACTGAATCTTTCTGCTTATAACTTATTATTACTATTATTTTAAAGATTTTATTTATTTATTCATGAGAGATGCATAGAGAGAGGCAGAGATAGACACAGGCAGAGGGAGAAAGAGGCTCCTCACAGGGAATCTGATATGGAACTTGATCACGGGACCAGGATCAGCCCTGAGCGGAAAGCAGATGCTCAACTGCTGAGCAACCAGGTGTCCTGTAATTTATTACTTTTTATTTTTTTAATTATTATTTTTTAAAACTAGTCTTTTTTTTAAGACTTATTTGTTTATTAATGAGAGAGAGAGAGAGAGAGAGGCAGAGACACAGGCAGAGGGAGAAGCAGGCTCCATGCAGGGAGCCCAATGTGGGACTAGATCCTGGGTCTCCAGGAGCAGGCCCTGGGCTGAAGGTGGCGCTAAACCGCTGAGCCACCCGGGCTGCCCAATTTATTATTTTTTAAGATTAATTAATTTATTTGAGAGAGAGAGAGAGAGAGCACAGCTGGGGCAGGGGCAGAAGGAGAGGAAGAAGCAGGGTCCCCACTGAGTGGAGAGGCTAATGGCTGGATCCTAGGACCCCCAGATCATGACCCTAGTGGAAGGCAGCCTTTTAACCAACTGAACCACTCAGGTGCCCCTCTGCTGGTAATGTAAATTGGCCAAACAATCTGGAACCACATAAAATTGGAATCCCGGGCAGCCCTGGTGGTGCAGCGGTTTAGTGCCGCCTGCAGCCTGGGGTGTGATCCTGGAGACCTGGGATCGAGTCCCACATGGGGCTTCCTGCATGGAGCCTGCTTCTCCCTCTGCCTGTGTCTCTGCCTCTCTGCCTGCCTCTCTCTCTCTCTGCCTCTGAATAAATTAAAAAAAAAAAAAAAGGAATCCCATAGATTTGAAATATATGAACTGGAAGAGGCCTTATTAGAGTTCACTAATCTTATCCTCTCCTGTTAATGATGACAAAACAAAAATCTGAGGAGTATAAGTGACTTACTTGAAGCCACAGCCAATGAATAACAAAGCTGAGACTTCTTATGACTTCTTGCAATTACTTTATATTGCCCACTTTAAATGACTCAGAACAAGCAGGAAGCCACTGGAAGAATATATATACTTTCATTTTAAATGTTGGTGATGAGAATAAATCATTGAATACTGACATCTCTTTTTCTAAAAATTATTTTTCAGTGCTGTTTTTCTGAAAATGTGTTTTTAAAAGCTATGACAGCTAGGGGCTCCTGGCTAGCTCAGTCCGTGGAGTGTGCAACTCTGTCTCATGGTTCTGAATCTGACCCCACTTTGGATGTAAAGATTACTTAAAAAAATAAAATCTTATTAAAAAGCTGTGCCAGGTAAATAATCATCATTTGCTTCATTCTTGTGGTACTTGGTGACAACGCCAGCTCAAAATTAAGTTGATTCTAAGATTCTCAAAAGGAATTTTGAATGTGCTTCTTCAAATAATAACATTAGATGCATAAAGTTCTTTTTTTAAGATTTTATTTATTTATTCATGAGAGACATAAAAAGAGAGAGGCAGAGACACTGGCAGAGGGAGGAGCAGGCTCAATGCAGGAGCCCAACGTGGGACTCCAGGATCACGCTCTGGGCCGAAGACAGGCGCTAAACCACTGAGCCACCCAGGTGTCCCAGATGCTAAAGTTCTAATAAAAAATCTAATTTCTTTCACCAATAGAACTTACAAATTCACTTTTTATACTCAAGCTCTTCAAATCTAGTCTTCCAGCAGAAAAGCAAAGAAATCTGGAAGTAACTTCAATGATACTTTAATTCCTGTTGATAGAAAACTTGATTACCTCCAAGGTAAGCCAAACTCTCAAAAGAGAGACCATCTAAGCCCTTTATGTTGCTATTAGAGGCTGAAAACTACAAACCTTTTATACCTTCCTCCTTTCTTACACCAACAAGAGAGAAATACTATACTGAAGTTTCATAGGATCTAGGAGAAAAAGAAATGAAATCTTTTTTGCCTGAAGATTTTATTTATTTATTTATTTATTTATTTATTTATTTATTTATTTATTTATTTATTTATTTATTTAAGAGAAAGCACGAGCAGGGGAAAAGGCAGAAGCTGACTCCCTGCTGAGCAGAGAGGACACAGGATGGATCCTAGGACCCCAAGATCATGACCTGAGCCAAAGGCAGACTCTTAATCAACTGAAAATCAAGATGTTTAATTTTATTTATTTGGGAGACAGAGTACAAGGGGAGTGGCAGGCAGAGGGAAAGGGAGAAGCAGGCTCCTGGGTGAGCAGAGAGCCTGACATGGGGCTCAATCCCAGGATTCTGGGATCATGACCTAAGCCGAAGGCAGATGCTTAACTGACTGAGCCACCCAGGCACTCCTAAAAAAGAGTTTTTTTAAAAAAAGATTTTATTTAGTTATTAATGTAAAGAGAGAGAATGTGAGCAAGGGGAGGAGGAGAAGAGAGGGAGAATGTCAAGTGTGGAGCCAGACACAGGGCTTGATCTCAGGACCCCAACATCATGACGTGAGCCAAAATCAAGAGTCAGTTGCTTAACCAATGGAGCCACCCAGATTCCCTAAATATACTTTTTAAGATTTTATTTATTTATTCATGAGAGACAGAGAGAGAGAGAGAGAGAGAGAGAGAGAGAGGCAGAGACACAGGCAGAGGGAGAAGCAGGCTCCCTGCAAGGAGCCCAATGCGGGACTCAATCCTGGATCCCGAATTGCACCCTGAGTCAAAGGCAGATGCCCAACTGCTGAGCCACCCAGGGGTTCCTAAAATTTTTTAATTAAATACTTCAAGAAAACCAAGTAAGGTCACTCCAAACACAGAGACAAAGGAGGAGAGATTATATTATTTTGTTGCTATCAAGAAGAGTGACATTAGAAACCATGGCAGACAGAACTAGATTACTATCTTATAGTTCTTTTTTTTTTTTTTAAGATTTTATTTGAGCAGCCCAGGTGGCTCAGCGATTTAGCACCACCTGCAGCCGGGGGTGTGATCCTGGAGACCCAGGATCGAGTCCCATGTCGGGCTCCCTGCATGGAGCCTACTTCTCCCTCTGCCTGTGTCTCTGCCTCTCTCTCTCTTTCTCTCTCATGAATAAATAGGTAAAATCTTAAAAAAAAAAAAAGATTGTATTTATTCATGAGAGACACACAGAGAGAAGCAGAGACAGGCCGAGGGAGAAGCAGGATCCATGCCAGGAGCTAGATGTGGGACTCCATCCCAGATCCCAGGATCACACCCTGGGCCAAAGGCAGATGCTCAACCACTGAGCCACCCAGGCATCCCATACTATCTTATAGTTCTATAAAGAACCACCTATTGAAAGGAAGTGAAACCTGCAGGAATGCAATGCAGTTTAGCCTCAACAGCAAGGCACACATAACACACATAGGTGACACCCCTGGAGTGCCCTTCTTCTGGTGAACAAGGGACATTGCACTATAAGGTATTACAGGACCTCTACTTCACAAGGCCATTACTTTCAAGATCAGGAGATGTAGCTGATTTTCCTCATACATAGAAACAGACAAAATGAGGAGACAGATGAGTATGTTCCAAATGAAAGAAAAGGACAGAATCATAGTAAAAGAGCTAAATGGAATGAGAAATTCAGATAAATAAAAGCTGATGGGAATTCACTACCACTAAATCTGCCCTGCAAGAAATACAAAAAGAAATCCTTTAGGCTGAAATAAAAGGATTCTAGACTGTAACTCAAACACACAAGATCTAAAAGTTCTCCCATACGGCTTTTCAGAAACTCTAAATTCTGGAAACAATTTGAATGTCCAGCAACAGGGGAATAAATAAAATATATCCATATGATGAAATAATGATAAAAATGAATGAATTCATTGATGAGAATACACCATGGATGAATCTGGAAAGCGTTGTGCTATGTGAAAGAAGACAGAAACAAAAGGATTATTGCTCTATGGTTCCATGTATATGACTTTAAAAGAAGACAGAACTATATGGACAGAAATTAGATCAGTAGTTGCCAAGGACTGGAAGTAAAATGATATCACAGATTACAGAGGAACCTGAGAAAACTTTCTGGAGTCATAGAAGGATTTCATATCTTGATTGTGATAGTGGGTACACGGTTATATACCTCTGTCAAAACTTGTACAATTTTGTACACTTTGAAAGTGAATTTTACAATAGATAAATTATGCCTCAATAGAAACAAAGGCATATGAAATGAAAGTTCACACAGAGACCTACATACATAGGTACCTAACTTTATTTATAATGGTCAAAAGCTGGGATCCCTGGGTGGCGCAGCGGTTTGGCGCCTGCCTTTGGCCCAGGGCGCGATCCTGGAGACCCAGGATCAAATCCCACGTCGGGCTCCCGGTGCATGGAGCCTGCTTCTCCCTCTGCCTGTGTCTCTGCCTCTCTCTCTCTCTCTCTCTCTCTCTCTCTCTCTCTCTGACTATCATAAATAAATAAAAAAAATATAATGGTCAAAAGCTGGAAACACTCCAAATGACCATCAACAGATGAATGGACATACTATGGCATATCCATACAATGGAACCCCCTGCAATTCAGCAACAAAAAGAATGAACCATTGATACAAAGAGTATGGATGAATTTCACAACAACTATTCTGAGTTTAAAAGGCCAAGAAAAGAAAAAAAGAGTATATACTCCATGATTTCATTTCTATAAAACTCCAGAAAATGTAAAATTTTGTATGGTGATATACAGCAGATCAATGACTTTTAGGAGATGGTAGGGACAGAGGTGTGTGAGGGAAAGATGACAAAGGGGAAAAGGTAATTTCAGAGGATAGTGACTATGTTCCTTATGTTGCTTTGGTCATGTTATCACAGATATGCATATACATCAAAATTCATTAAAGTATATATGTCATTTTCATGATTTATTAATATTTATAATTTCTAATTATAAAGCTATGTACAAATAACTTCATACTTCATGGTTGAGAAAATTGAATCATATATTTCTTTAATCACTTGTCAGTTGACAGGTATTTTACTTATTTACAGTGCTTCACTATCATGCTACCAAAAAAAAAAAATCAGTATCTGTGGTTGTGTTTGGGTGTTTTTTAAAGATTTAATCTATTCATTTGGGAGTGAGAGCACAAGCAGGGGGAGGGACAAGCAGACTCCCCGCTGAGCAGGGAGCCAGACTGGATCCCAGGACTCCAAGATCATGACCTGGGCTGAAGGCAGACACTTAAAGGACTGAGCCACGCAGGCGCACCCCACCACCACCACCACCTGGAGTTGTTTTAAATCCAGAAATCTTAAGCACTGTATGACTACAATAACATTTTAAAAGTGTCAGGGGATCCCTGGGTGGCTCAGCAGTTTACAGCCTGCCTTCGGCCTGGGGCGCGATCATGGAAACCAGGGATTGAGTCCCATGTTGGGCTCCCTGCATGGAGCCTGCTTCTCCCTCTGCCTGTGTCTCTGCCTCTCTGTGTGTGTGTGTCTCATGAATAAATAAATAATAAAATCTTTAAAAAAGACATTCTATTTTTTCTTTATTTATTTATGATAGTCACAGAGAGAGAGAGAGAGAGAGAGGCAGAGACATAGGCAGAGGGAGAAGCAGGCTCCATGCACCAGGAGCCCGACGTGGGATTTGATCCTGGGTCTCCAGGATCGCGCCCTGGGCCAAAGGCAGGCGCCAAACTGCTGCGCCACCCAGGGATCCCTAAAAAAGGCATTCTAAAACTGTCACAAAACAGAAAAGAGAGTATATGTAATATAGTTAAATTATTAAGTAAAACAATGATATCAAATATTTAGTAAGCCTTACCTTTTTGAAAATTTCCCCTGCTGTTGCTGATCACTTTCTTCAACTTTTGCCTAGTCCACAAAGAATCTATTAAGGTTAAACATAAGCTATTAGAAATTGTTGTATCAGAGCCCTTAGGCAAAAAGTGGCTGTCAGTGTATAGTTCTATTCAGACTGTCATTTATATGTCAATTGTCATTAAAGAGAAATTAACCTATACCATACATAACACAAAGCTACCACATACTGTTTCCTTAGCTAACTTACTGGGTTCAATACTAGGCTTCTCGAGGACCCTAACCAAGAATCCATGAACATAATTTGACCCCATTCTCACCATTTTTAAGGAATTCCAAATATTTTTAACTTTTATGAGTATAGAATTCTATAAACTTTCATAATTTCTTATAGTTGGAACTGTGCCAAAGACTCCATATTTACAATGATTAAGTCTCAAAATACCCTTAAACCAAAAGCAGTGATAGGACATACAATAACGCTCATTAATTCAGGATTCCTATGACAGATTTTACTTAAGTGGCATTTAATCTGGGAAGAAAGTATCAAATACATAAGAAATTTCTCAGGTACAAATACACCAGGTGCATATTTTAAAAATATATATTTAATTGCGTTAATGATAAATTATCACTAGTAAAGCAAGAAATAAGTATCTAAATAACCTCTTTAGAGCAACAACATAGTTCTCATTACTCTATGTTCCAAAGGATGATGAAACATGATGTAATGGATGTGTTCATTATTTTGATTGTGGTGATCATTTCTCAGGTATGACATATACTGATTTTATAAATTGTACACTTTAAGTGGGGAAGTTTGTGTTCTCAGTTATATTTCTATTGATAAAGCTTTTGAGAAAAACAAACCAAGGGACACCTGGGTGGCTCAGTGGATGAGCATCTATCTGCCTTTGGCTCAGGTCATGATTCTGGGGTCCTGGGATCAAGTCCTGCATGGAGCTCCCCACGGGGAACCTGCTTCTCCTTCTGCTTATGTCTCTGCCTCTCTGTGTCTCTCATGAATAGATAAAATCTTTTTTTTTTTTTTTTAAAGTTGTGTGTTTGGGCAAAGCAACCAAGGAAAAATGTGGTTAAATAATCAGGGCAAAGAGTGGGCCAATCCAGTGTTTTGCTGGCCATGCTTGGGAATTATTTTTATACTGATTCCTTTTATAAAAAAGATTTTATTTAGTTATTCATGAGAGACACAGAGAGAGCGGCAGAGACACAGGCAGAGGGAGAAGCAGGCTGCTTGTGGGGAGCCCGATGTGGGACTTGATCCCTGGACCCGGATCAGGCCCTGAGCCAAGGCTCAACCGCTGAGCCACCCAAGCATCCCTATGCTGATTCTAGTGGCAATTCATTTGAGAGTTTCAGGCAGGAGCCTATCTGATTTGAGTGATGGAAGCCACTAGAATCACAGATGAATGAAATTGGAAGAGCCATGGAGCTCCCTAAGTCCAGGTGCTCTTAAGAATGTCAAAGGTTGCACAGCCCGGGGTGGCTCAGCGGTTTAGCGCTGCCTTCAGCCCAGGGCCTGATCCTGGAGACCCAGGATCGAGTCCCACGTAGGGGGACTTGCATGGAGCCTGCTTCTCCCTCTGCCTGTGTCTCTGCCTCTCTCTCTGTGTCTCTCGTGAATAAATATATAAAATCTTTAAAAAAATAATGTCAAAGGTTTCCTTAAAGTTCCTGAAATATCTGCTAATTTGCTTTTTTTCTTTTAAAGATTTTATTTATTTGACACAGAGAGAGAGAGAATGAGCAGGGGGAGCAGCAGGCAGAGGGAGAGTGAGAAGCAGATTTCCCACTGAGCAGGGAGCCTGACAGGGGCTGGATCCTAGGACCCTGAGATCATGACCTGAGCAGAAGGCAGATGCTTAATAGACTGGGCCACCCAGGTGCCCCAACTAATTTGTGTATGTAAATGTACATGTGTATTTTAATTTTTTATTAAAGTATAATTGACATGATGTTATATTAGTTTCTGGTGTACAATATATTGATTGGACAATTCTATACGTTACTCAGTGCTTGTGATGATTAGTTACTGTCACTATACAACATTAATACAATATTATTTTTTAAAAGATTATTTATTCATGAGAGACACAGACAGAGAGAGAGGCAGAGACACAAGCAGAGGGAGAAGCAGGTCCCACGCAGGGAACCCAATGTGGGACTCGATCCCGGATCCTGGGATCATGACCTGAGCCGAAGGCAGGCGCCCAACTGCCAAGCCACCCAGGCATCCCTTAATATGATATTATTGACTACACTTTCTATGCTGTACTTTTTATCACTGTGCCTTATTTATTTAGTAACTGGAAGTCTGCAGCTTTTCATCCCCTTCTATTTTGCCTATCCCGTCAACCACCTCCCCTCTGGCAACCACCAGTTTATTGTCTCTGTATGTAAGTCTATCTTTTTGTTTATTCATTTTTTCCCTGGATTCCACATATAAGTAAAATCATACGGTATTTATCTTTCCCCACTAATTTCACTTAGCACAATACCTTTTAGGTCCGTCCAAGTTGTTGCAAATGGCAAGATCTCATTATTTTTTAAGAGTAATATTCCAGTGTTTGTGTGTGTACACACACAGACACCACATATTCTTTATCCATTCATCTATTGATGGATAATTGGGTTGCTTCCAAATCCTGGTTGTTGTAAATAAGGCTGAAATAAACATAGGGGTGCATATATCTTTTTTTTAAGATTTTATTTATTTATTCATGAGAGACACACACACACACAGAGAGAGAGAGAGAGAGAAGCAGAAACACAGGCAGAGGGAGAAGCAGGCTCCATGCAGGGAGCCCGATGTGGGACTCGATCCTGGGTCTCCAGGATCAGGCCCTGGGCCGAAGGCGGCACTAAACCACTGAGCCACCCAGGGATCCCCATATATCTTTTTTGAATTAGGGTTTCCATTTTTGGGGGTAAATACCCAGTAGTGGAGTGATTGGATCATATGGTATTTCTATTTTTAAGTTTTTGAGGAACCTCTATACTGTTTTCCATAGTTTTTATCAATTTATGATCCAACCAACAGTACAAGGGGTCCCTTTTCTCTACATCCTTGCTTACACTTGTTATTTGTTGTCTCTTTAGTCATTCTGACAGGCATGAGGCCATATCTCATTGCAGTTTTGATTTGCATTTCTCTCATGATTAGCACTGCTACATCAAAATAAAAAGCTATTGCACAGTAAAAGAACCCATCAACAAAACAAAAAAGCAACCTACTGAGCGAGAGAAGACATTTATAAATAAAATAGCCAATAAGGGCTTTATATCCAAAATATATAAAGAACTTATACAACTAAACACAGAAAAATGAATAATCTTGATCCCTGGGATCAAGCACTGCATCAGGTTCCTCACTCGGTGGGGAGTCTATTTCTCCCTATTCTTCTCCCCCTACTCAGGCTTTCTCTTTCTCTCAAATAAATAAATAAAAGAGAGAGGCAGAGACCTAGGCAGAGGGAGAGGCAGGCTCCCTCTGGGGAGCCTGATGTGGGACCTGAGCCAAAGGCAGGCGCTCAACCACTGAGCCACCCAGGTGCCCCGAATTAATAAAATCTTATTTTTTCTTAAATCACAAAAGAATAGATCATCAAAATAAGCTATTCGTCTTTCACTATTATTCTAAGCCTGCCCTGTGCCACAGACCAAAAGAATAACGTAGAATTGGCATTTGACAAGTGTAGTTTTCGTCTTACAAAGAAATGACAAGGGATCCCTGGGTGGCTCAGTGGTTTGGCGCCTGCCTTTGGCCCAGGGCACGATCCTGGAGACCTGGGATCGAATCCCACGTTGGGCTCCCGGTGCATGGAGCCTGTTTCTCCCTCTGCCTGTGTCTCTGCCTCTCTCTCTCTCTCTCTGTGACTATCATAAATAAATAAAAATTTATAAAAAAAAAAAAAAAGAAATGACAAGCAACTTCTTGCTTGATCCTCCCCAACAGAGATTCTGATTATGTATAAACAAAACAGCTAAGTAGAAGGCCCTCTAGCAGACTACATTTCACAAGGGAAGTTTCAGCATTATCCTTTAGATCCAACATACGGTAACAAGTTCTGTTCCTCAGCAGTCTAGGGAGACCAACAGGATCACCTCAAATCTTTCCTAGTTCTCAGGTTAATCAAACGATCAGGCTACTCTGACGGCTTTAAAAGGTCTCAAGTTACTGAAATAATACTGCCTTTCTTTGCTCAATCTTGAGCACTAATAACCTAGCTATACTATTACTGGAAGTCTAATGTACACGTGATTTCTAGAAAACCTCCACGGCACCAGTATAAACTGGATTAAAACATTGCAGAAAGTCATGCGTGTAAATATCAAGGGGATAAAACACAAGGTGCAACTTACATCGCACACCTACCAGACGCACGAAATCAACTCTAGTCAAATCATGGCCTTTTCTGGGCTTTGAGTTTGAAATTACCAGAAGGGATCATACTATTTCCAATCCCCGAGGCGGAGCTCTCATGATCATCATGATGAACCATTAGGGAGACCGAGCATACATGGCCACAGTGCTAACCAGATATATACAGAGGAAGTTCAGGGAGAGGCCTACTTTGAAAAAGGAGCCTATGGACAGAAGAGGGTAGCACAGAATCCAAGTACAACTGAGCTAACTTACCTATCAGAAGTATGAAATCAATGCCTGCCCTTTGTCTGTGCTTGAACTCTGCTTCTATGGTGCTTGGATGGAACCATCGCTCGTTCCCCGCCCCCGGCCGCCTGGAGCCAGCCCTCTGCCATCCCCATGCGGCGCTCTCGGACCGCTCCAGCGCCGCCGCGCAGCCGCCGCCCTGATGACCGCGTCCCCCTCGCAGGTGCGCCCCAACTACCACCAGGACTCAGAGGCCGCCATCCACCACCAGATCAACCCGGAGCTCTATTCGTCCTACGTCTACTTGTCCATGTATTATTACTTTGATCACAATGATGTGGCTTTGAAGAACTTTGCCAAGTATTTTCTTCACCAATCTCATGAGGAGAGGGAACATGCTGAGAAACTGATGAAGCTGCAGAACCAACGAGGTGGTT